AGTTCAGGACCCCCTACCCGAGATCCGCCGGTTTTGACACCGACACTCGTCGCGCGGAAGAGTGGAGGGCGCGCGGCATCGGAGGCCACAATACGGCCGTTGTGGTCGCCCGAGCAGCGAGTAGAGCCACACGGAGGAAGCCCCATCGTCCTCTTCGGGTGGCGATTGTGGAGAAGGCGAGCTTTTTCTTGGCCGGCCTCGAGCGCCTTCGTCAAGGCCAGCTCGAATCCATTGACAGGCACGGACGTGGCCGTGGCCGTGAGCCGCGCGGGCGCCTCGATGACTAGGGCGGTGATGCGGGAGCACCGGTGCGGCTGTCGCAGATTTGGGAGCGACGCCACGCAACCTTGTCGATCAAGGAGCGCCATCGCTGCCGCACGCGGCTCACTATGGTGGTATTGGAGAGGAGCTGAGGGGATGGGAGAGCGTGGGGGCGTCGACCGGGGAGAGTATGTGGCGGCGCAAAAGGAGGCACCTTCGCAGCGAACGGGGAGAAGTCAAGCTGGTGGGGGGAGGGGAGAAGTGGACGCCGTCGCCGTCATTTGGCGGTGAAGTGGAGGAGGCATCGGCGGAGTGGGAGGGAGGGAGGGAGTGAGAAAATGGAGTCGCGGCGGCCGACATTGGGATGGATCGGGGATTGATTGTGCCTCGTTGGTTGGTTGGTTGGTTGGTTTGGGCTGCTGTTTTGGTTGATCGATACAAGCATTCATTCATTTTGGTGTTGGTGTGAGAGAAGAGAAGAGGGCACGGATGGCTAAGGCGCTGATTGGTCCGTTGGGTAGTCACGCGGATTCATACCCTTTTCTTGTCAATCCCAGCCACCTATCCATTCATCCATCCATCCATCCATAAGTGGGAAATAGAAGATGCGGAGGAGCCACAACTCGGGATCCGTAACTGCCCAGAAAAAGAATCCAGGCATAGTGAGGTGATCACAAATTTGAGTTGGGACAGAAAACACGACTCGCATCAACCGCCTTCTGCGCACGCCACGCGTCACGGTGGGGCCGCCAGTTGACCAGCCTTATCTCCTCGTCTCCCGTGGTCACGAGAACCACTCATTCTTTTGAACGAGCTCGATTCCCTTTTCTGTCCCGCACCTCTTGCCAGCTCTCTCTGCCATGGCTCCGCCCAAGCTCTGCCCTCGAGTCCACACGCGGTGCTGCGATGCGGGCTCGTCGGCGGCTGCAACGCATTCCTCGTTGCAGCACCACTCAATTTTTCATAGAGCTCGATCCCCTGTTTGTCCCTCACCTCTCGCCATGGCTGTTGCCCAAGCTCTCTCCACCATGGTTGTTGCCCAAGATATCTCCGCCATGGCCTACTGCCTAAGCTCCAAGCACTGCTTCCCAAGTTCAACACACTGGTGTTGCGATGCGGCTCGTCAGCGTGCTGCAAGGAAGCCTCATTTTTGGTGACTGGTCTTGTCGGCATTGCGCAATGCATCGCTCGGCGACGGCTGACGGTCCTGCGATGCAACGTTCGACGGTGCTGCAGGCGCTACGACATGGCGATTGTCGGGTGCTGCCGGTTGTGCAACGCAGCCTCGTCGTTGACTCGGTGCTGGAATGCGGCGCTCATTGGGGGCTGCCGGTGCTGCAACGCAGCCCCGTCAGTGATTCCCTGCTGCGACATGGTGCTCGTCGGTGCCGACTGCCGATGTTGTGACGCGGAGCATGTCGGCGTTGTCGGCGCTGCTATGCAGCACTCGTGAGGCTACGCTGCACTGCAACAAGGGGTGCTGCGACCAAAGAATCTCGTTGGCGACCGAAGATGTAAGGCGAGCTGCAATGCTACTTGTGTGGCGCCAGGACATCCTGATCTTGCCAGCGATAGAAACTGCAATGCAACGGGCTGTTTTGCTGTGGGGGAGTTGACCGGTGGTTTGTGGTGGCTGCTGGAAAGCGATAATGGTGCATGGCCAGTGCAGATACATGAGAGGAGGGGAGGACTGAGTTGTTGACGAGCGAGCGACGGCCGACGGCTTCAATCAAACGGCTGCGCAACTCTCATCGAACGGCTGGCGAGGCGGTTTAGAATTTGCCTCCTGTCAACCGGATGACGCGTAGAGCTGGCTATAAATATAAGAGTGTTCAGATCAACACTCTTATATTTCTTTACAGAGAAAGTAGTTTTGAAATGAGCTTGACTTTAAATCAAACCATTACATATTGAAAAGTTATGCAAACATACACATATAAACGACATAATAATTAGAGCTTAGGAAAACACTTCAAGCCCTAAGGTTATTTGAAAAAATATAGCATTTTTATAAACTTTATTTTGGGCATTATAAATTTTCCCTATAAATTAATTTAGGGTTATAAATAATTCCCAAAATATTTATGAACTCCCAAAAAAATATTATATTATAACATTCCAACCCTTTTTATACTAAATGAATCATATTACCTTCTCTCATTTGATTTTGTTTTTGAGGTGGTCTTTTACATAATAAAACCCAAATAAGATCCAAAATTAATATATGGGAAAGACCTTTAATTCTCTGTTGTTTAATATTCAAGAAACACAAGCAAGTTTTATTTTTTTTCTAATTTAACTAACTAACATTCTAAAATTTTGAAAAAAAATGGGATGTTGCATCATTGCTGCTAGCATGTTGTTGATGTCAAAACCGACAGACCTCGGGTAGGGAGGCCCGAGCTGTGAGATCGGATCGATGTGTAACAAGAGATGAGGGACACGCTGCTTTTACCCAGGTTCAGACCCTCTTAAAGGAGGTAAAACTCCGTGTCCTGCTCTTGCTTATATTATGAATGTATCAAAGTACAGAGTTGATCTACCTGGAGATCATGAGTTGTGGACTAAACCCTAGTGGTAATGGTGATGATGATTCTATTGGCACATCGTATCAAAACAGAAATTGTGCCCCGCATTTTAGGGGATATCATCAGTTAATTGTTTCACCCAATGCGGCCATAACGGCACGACTAGCCGAAACGTGGCGATTTTTACGGCATAGCGGAGGGGACGCTTCGTCTTTTACTGACTTATAAAGAATAGGGCGACCAATCCTTTCTCCCATGCTCTCCTTCTACTCCAACACCCTCCAAGCTCTCACACCCCCAATCCGTTTTCAAGCCTAAAACTTTCTCTAATCTTCCGCATCTCGCGCCAATGGCCGACACAGATCTGAAGGGGCTAGGCGGAGAGAACCTTTTTCCATCTTCAGAGAGTCTGTGCCGTCTCGACTTCCTGAATAGGACACAAACCTTAGACAAACCCGAAAAAAACACCTAAAAAGGGAGTAGGAGCCCTCCCACCGGTGAGGGTTGGGATCCAGCACACCTCCATGGCCCTAAGGCCACATAAGATTAGGCAAATTGGTGGTGGCGACAGGAGTTGGTGCCACTCGTGGGTAGGAGGTGTTTTGGGTGTGACCGGTGTTGTTGCCTTTGGCTCCAGTATAATCTGTAATAAACATAGCACAAGCGAGAATTGACATGATGTAAATTTCTTCCATTGTAATAACCATTTGCTATAGTGAAAAAACATTAGAGTGGAGATATTGCTTCTGAATAATCCATGGACTTTTTGAGCTAAATGAAAATATTAGGAAATTGAGCTAAACGAAGTAGGCAACATGAAGACAGACTGTAGGAAAGTCGTGACAGAGCCTGGCATAGGCCCTTATTGTGGGGTGCCCATGTGTACTTCGAGGAGGAGAGCCTTGCAAGAGCACATCCACATCTTCATTTTGAACTTAAGCATCGATCACTCTCTGAAATCCTGCCATTTTGTCCATTAAATGTCCTGATTTCCACCATTATTCCAAAATATGTTGCTAGAATCTTGTATGATGTGATTTTCATGTCTAATCATGAGTACAAAAACATTATGTAAACATGTGTGCATCGTGACAACAAGTCACTTTGTGTCGGTGGCAGTCCTAGGATCTCGGGACGGGGGGTGCTACGGTTTACAAAACAATTGCACATTTCATAACTTCAATACACCAGTTCAATTTGCGAAAATCTACACAACAGATACTCAAATAGTATAGCTTTTAAACATTATCATAATTTCAAAAGTAGTCTCAAAATAGCATTAAGGTATTAGATGATTGGTGTTAAGTACATAGTACAGATTATTCCATGGCTCCCCTCTAGTGCACCCGGGATAACGAATTGACCAAGTTGCCATCGTGGCTGTGACAAGCCTAGTGATAAATCACTGCTAGTATAATTATTCGGTAATGTCAAAATCTGACGCCAATTTATAAGCATGGCAAATTGGAAGATTTTTATGGTAATTTGCGTTGGCTTTTCAAGCACGGCATTTTCTGCGGTAAAATGAATCGATGCAGATTTGCAATGCTCGCTAACTAAACTTGTCATCATCGGCAAATATAAATTAACATAAAAATGTTTGATTTGTCATGGTCAAATGTCTCACGTCGGATTTGCAGTGGAGTCCTGAATATTATGAAGATCTTTAACAAGATAACATCTGAACAAAACTGAAAGCGTAAGGAAACATTATTCATCATTCGACCGATAAACCTAAGCCATTGGAGAGCGTACGTGCTCAACTGTGTAAGCACAGGCGAAAGTAAAGGGAAAATGTTGCATGCAGAGTTTCTTCCGTGGTCGTTGGTCTATCTTCGTCAGTTAATCCATCACACAGCTGGGTCCATCTTTGGCTACTCCGCAGAACGCCATGAGCGCGTGCGCGTCGCCGGATTTGCGGCCTTCCTCCGAGTACTTGAAGGCGCAGTACTCGTAGGGATCGCAGGTACGGTATACCAGTGGGTGGTCCTCGTCGACGAGCTGCTCCATGGCCCGCACCGTGGAGCCTTGGGTGGGCATGCAGCCCAGCAGCGCGGAGAAGCGCTCGCGGTTGCTCGGCGTCCTGACGCGGTGGAGGCAGGCCCGCACCCGTCCGTTGGTCACCACCTGCAGCCAGACGTTTATTAACAGTTCAGCACACATACACGGTAGCGGGGAAGAGGGGTGCATGTCAGGCTTTACGTTGAGCAGCTAGCCGGCGACGATGACGACCGTGTCCGGCTCGGGGGGCACGGCGAACCAGCTGCCGTCCTTGAGCTGCACCTCCAGGCCCTCCACCTCGTGCTGCACGATCGTGGTGGTCATGTTGTACTCACGGTGCTCCGGCAGGCTCACCTTGGCCGTGTTCTCCTCCGGGCAGATGCCGTAGTAGGACATCCGGAAGCTGTAGCAGAGCTGGTCGCGGTGCGAGTCGAGGGCGTGCTCGTCCCGGACGCCCAGGCCTTCCAAGACCATCCTCGTCACCGTCTTCTCCAGGCTGACAGCATTCTTGGCGAACTCCCCGACCGTGTCACTGGAGTGACACAACAACAATGTTGGGATCCATGCACGTCAAAAACACATTGCATATGTACAGATTGAGCGATCAAGAATCATGTGGTAGCTAGTCTAGTCTCTCTCACCAGAAGGCGGGGTTGCCCTGCGGCCAGAGCAGACCGGCGAAGTCGCTGATGTGGACGGCGTCGGTGATGTCCTTGATGCGCATGCTCTCGTACGCCATGCCGGGTATCTGCCCGATGTACCCTCTGTACTGCACGTCGCTGTTGACGTTGCGCTGCTTGGCCTCCGCGGGGAGCGCGAACAGCTCCGGCATGGCGCGGCCGAACAGCGCCTGCCGGATGTCCTCGTCCAGCCCGACGTGCTGGACATGGACCATGGCGCAGCCGTGCGCCACCATGGACGTGGTCACCGCGTCCCGGGCTTCGTCCCACCCTGGCCGGCCAGGCTCCAGCCCTCGGAGGTCGACCTTGGTGATCTCCTTCAACTGCTGCTCAGGGCTGGCCGGCATTCTTTGTTTCGTACGTGAATTAGTCTCGTGTGTTCGATCGGAACGTTCCCTTGGATGTTGGTGTGAATTGCTTGATCGTAGCAATTTATAGCATTAAGCAATTTTACGACGGAGAAAGTAATTAAATATAGATAGGTAGTGGTCAACACTAGCCGGCATTCTTGGTTTCGTGCATGAATTCGTCTTCTCTTGGATGTTGGTGTGAATTGCTTAATCGTAGCAATTTATAGCAGTGTGTGTATAATACTTCCTTTGTCTCAAAATAATCAAAGACACTTTTTTGGGAATGGAGTAGGTAGAAGTCAGCAGATGGTCATGTGCCCTAATAAATGTTTTTATGTTTTTTGCAAATGGCCTGTTGCTAGTTTGCTAGCCATGAAGGCGTTGTCGGCCTCCAACAGCATACGGAGGTTTATCCACGCATCGCTGCCAAGGTGGTAGGTCTCAGAGGTGCCTTTCTTATCACCAAACATCTTGTTTGATCTTCACAATCCATCCTATTCATCAGTTCATCAAGATCATCACCGAGTAATCCTCCTCTGAAAACCAGGGCACTTCTTCAAGATCCTCTCCCTTTCCTAAATCCAATCTTTTCTACGGTAAGGATGGAATCTAGGTTGGATACGAAAACTAGTAGTGAGTGGTAGTTGTCTGACTTGCAGTTGCAACGATAGATAAGGCATGCATAGATCTGCAATTGAACATATTAGACTTAGGGTTTGGTTTGGGTCGGCTTAACCTCTAGAGGTGGCCTGGTACATATATTTGTATGAGGGACATGTACAAATACAAAGTATGTATGGAAGCTACAAACTAGCCTAAATACAAAGTCTAACACCCTCCCTCAATCTCAACCGGTGTCTCGTAGGTTGAGATTGCGCCGGCAAACCTCAAACAAAGGTAATGGCAACGGCTTCGTGAAGGTGTTTGCAAGTTGATCTTTAGAAGAGATAAACTTGATCTGAAGTTGTTTATGTGCAACACGTTCCCTGACAAAATGATAATCAACTTCGATGTGCTTTGTTCGTGCATGAAATACTGGATTAGAAGAAAGGTATGTAGCACTAACATTGTCACACCAAAGAATCGATGGCTGTGGTTGAGGGACCCTCAACTCACGAAGCAATGATTGTACCCATATTAGCTCTGCCGTCGCATTGGCTACAGCTTTGTACTCAGCCTCAGTACTACTGCGAGAAACCGTAGCCTGTTTGCGGGCACGCCAAGCGATCAAGTTGGGACCAAGAAACATAGCATATCCCCCCGTAGAGCGCCGATCATCAGGATTACCTGCCCAGTCAGCATCCGAAAAAGCAGAGATAATACCAGATGGAGCTGGCTGAAGGTGCAAGCGATATGAGGCTGTAAGACGAACATAGCGAAGAATGCATTTGACAGGAGACCAGTGGGAATCACGAGGTGAATGAAGGTACTGACAAACACGATTAACCGCAAAGGAAATGTCTGGTCTAGTAATAGTCAGGTACTGTAGACCACCAACAAGACTACGATATGTAGTGGCATCATCGGGAGAAAGAAGTGCACCAGTTGTTGGAAATATGCCCTAGAGGCAATAATAAAATGGTTATTATTATATTTCTTTGTTCATGATAATTGTCTATTGTTCATGCTATAATTGTGTTATCCGGAAATCGTAATACATGTGTGAATACATAGACCACAACACGTCCCTAGTGAGCCTCTAGTTGACTAGCTCGTTGATCAAAAGATAGTCATGATTTCCTGACTATGGACATTGGATGTCATTGATAATGGGATCACATCATTAGGAGAATGATGTGATGGACAAGACCCAATCCTAAGCATGGCTCAAAGATCGTGTAGTTCGTTTGCTGTAGCTTTTTCGAATGTCAAGTATCATTTCCTTAGACCATGAGATTGTGCAACTCCCGGATACCGTAGGAGTGCCTTGGGTGTGCCAAACGTCACAACGTAACTGGGTGACTATAAAGATACACTACAGGTATCTCCGAAAGTGGCTGTTGGGTTGGCACGAATCAAGACTGGGATTTGTCACTCCGTATGACGGAGAGGTATCTCTGGGCCCACTCGGTAATGCATCATCATAATGAGCTCAATGTGACCAAGTGGTTGATCACGGGATCATGCATTACGGCACGAGTAAAGTGACTTGCCGGTAACGAGATTGAACGAGGTATTGGGATACCGACGATCGAGTCTCGGGCAAGTAACGTACCGATTGACAAAGGGAATTGTATACGGATTGATTGAATCCTCGACATCGTGGTTCATCCGATGAGATCATCGTGGAGCATGTGGGAGCCAACATGGGTATCCAGATCCCGCTGTTGGTTATTGACCGGGGAGTCGTCTCGGTCATGTCTGCATGTCTCCCGAACCCGTAGGGTCTACACACTTAAGGTTCGGTGACGCTAGGGCTGTAGAGATATTAGTATGCAGTAACCCGAAAGTTGTTCGGAGTCCCGGATGAGATCCCGGACGTCACGAGGAGTTCCGGAATGGTCCGGAGGTAAATATTTATACATAGGAAGTCTAGTTTCGGCCATCGGGAAGGTTTCGGGGGTCGTCGGTATTGTACCGGGACCACCGGAAGGGTCCCGGGGGTCCACCGGGTGGGTCCACCTATCCTGGAGGGCCCCATGGGCTGAATTGGGAGGGGAACCAGCCCCTAGTGGGCTGGTGCACCCCCCCCCCTTGGGCCTCCCCTGCGCCTAGGGTTGGGAAACCCTAGGGGTGGGGGCGCCCCCCACTTGGCTTGGGGGGGAAGCCATCCCTTGGCCGCCGCCCCCTTGGAGATCCGTCTCCCTAGGGCCAGCGCCCCCCCCCAAGGCCCCTATATAAAGAGGGGGGAGGGAGGGCAGCCGCACCCTTGCTCTTGGCGCCTCCCTCTCCCTCCGTAACACCTCTCCTCCCCACTTGCGCTTGGCGAAGCCCTGCCGGGATCCTGCTGCATCCACCACCACGCCGTCGTGCTGCTGGATCTTCATCAACCTCTCCTTCCCCCTTGCTGGATCAAGTTGGAGGAGACGTCTTCCCAACCGTACGTGTGTTGAACGCGGAGGTGCCGTCCGTTCGGCACTTGGTCATCAGTGATTTGGATCACGTCGAGTACGACTCCATCAACCCCGTTCTCTTGAACGCTTCCGCGCGCGATCTACAAGGGTATGTAGATGCACTCCTCTCTCCCTCGTTGCTATATGACTCCATAGATTGATCTTGGTGATGCGTAGAAAATTTTAAAATTCTGCTACGTTCCTCAAAAGTGGCATCATGAGCTAGGTCTATGCGTAGTTTCTATGCACGAGTAGAACACAAAGTAGTTGTGGGTGTCGATATTGTCAATTATCTTGTCGTTAATAGTCTCATCTTGATTCGGCGGCATTGTGGGATGAAGCGGCCCGGACTGACCTTACATGTACGCTTACGTGAGACTGGTTCCATCGACTGACATGCACTAGTTGCATAAGGTGGCTGGCGGGTGTCTGTCTCTCCCACTTTAGTCGGATCGGATTCGATGAACAGGGTCCTTACGAAGGGTAAATAGAAATTGGCAATTCACGTTGTGGTCTTGGCGTAGGTAAGAAACGTTCTTGCTAGAAACATATAGCAGCCAGTAAAAACTTGCAACAACAATTAGAGGACGTCTAACTTGTTTTTGCAGCAAGTGTTTTGTGATGTGATATGGCCAAAGGATGTGATGAATGATATATGTGATGTATGAGATGATCGTGTTCTTGTAATAGGGATTACGACTTGCATGTCGATGAGTATGACAGCCGGCAGGAGCCATAGGAGTTGTCTTTATTTATTTATAACCTGCGTGTCAACATAAATGTCATGTAATTACTTTACTTTATTGCTAAAGCGTTAGCCATAGTAGTAGAAGTAATAGATGACGAGACAACTTCAAGAAGACACGATGATGGAGATCATGATGATGGAGATCATGGTGTCATGCCGGTGACAGCGATGATCATGGAGCCCCGAAGATGGAGATCAAAAGGAGCAAATGATATTGGCCATATCATGTCACTATTTGATTGCATGTGATGTTTATTATGTTTTACATCTTATTTGCTTAGAACGACGATAGCTTAAATAAGATGATCCCTCGTAATAATTTCAAGAAAGTGTTCCCCCTAACTGTGCACCGTTGTGAAGGTTCGTTGTTTCGAAGCACCACATGATGATCGGGTGTGATAGATTCTAACGTTCGAATACAACAGGTGTAAGCCAGATTTACACACGCAATACACTTAGGTTGACTTGACGAGCCTAGCATGTACAGACATGGCCTCGGAATACAGAAGACCGAAAGGTCGAGCATGAGTCGTATAGAAGATACGATCAACATAAAGATGTTCACGGATGTTGACTAGTCTGTCTCACGTGATGATCGGACACGGCCTAGTTGACTCGGATCATGTTTCACTTAGATGACTAGAGGGATGTCTATCTGAGTGGGAGTTCATTGAGTAATTTGATTAGATGAACTTAATTATCATGAACTTAGTCTAAAATCTTTACAATATGTCTTGTAGATCAAATGGACCATGTTGTCCTCAACTTCAATGCGTTCCTAGAGAAAACGAAGCTGAAAGATGATGGCAGCAACTATACGGACTGGGTCTGGAACCTGAGGATCATCCTCATAGTTGCCAAGAAAGACTATGTCCTAGAAGCACCGCTAGGTAACGCACATGTCCCAAAGAACCAAGACGTTATGAACGCTTGGCAGTCACGTGCCGATGATTACTCCCTCGTCGAGTGCGGCATGCTTTACAGCTTAGAACCGGGGCTCCAAAAGCGTTTTGAGAGACACGGAGCATATGAGATGTTCGAAGAGCTGAAAATGGTTTTCCAAGCTCATGCCCGGGTCGAGAGATATGAAGTCTCCGACAAGTTCTTCAGCTGTAAGATGGAGGAAAATAGTTCTGTCAGTGAGCACATACTCAAAATGTCTGGGTTGCATAACCACTTGACTCAGCTGGGAGTTA